GTGTTCCTTAGAATTGTTTCTCGTCCATTGTATTAAGTAAGCATTGTCTACTTATTGGACTGTCTCAGGTAAAGGTTGCTTACAATCAAAAGAAACTTACATTCATTGTAATTGTTAACTTAGTGGACAGTTACAGGTAAGTGCTCATTTTAAATAAACGAATTAAGAATATTTAACCACAATGCCATGAGATTCCAAACTCATTTTCGTGTGATTGTCAATGTTGAAAGCACGTCTTCTTCCGAGGGAGAAAGCATATTTCTGATGCAAATCAAATTGAGATATGATGAGCAATCTACTAATACTGGATTTTGAGGTTAGGATTGTCAAGATAATGAACTTTGAACTCAAAGTGGACGTTTTTTTTCTTTCAAATATGTCTCAACTTTTGGCCAAGGCTATTCAAGGATGCAGAAAAACAAAGGGAACGTAGAAAGAATTTGGTAATTGAATCAACAATATTTAGATGATTTAGAAAAGGTTTTTCGCAGAAAACAGAGAAATGTAAATGGGCAGTGACTGTGTTCTTTAAATATCAGGGAGAATGTTGCACAGTACCCAACGTTGATGTTTTCATGCTTAAGGATGTCGGGTGATAAAGAAATTAACAAAGCATAGGCGTCGGAAGCAAATTGAAAGTGGGGGGGCTAATTGAAAGTGGGGGGGCTAAACCAACGATAAAAGGTAAGCCCCAATTTTCAATGCCTATATTATGTCTATCTTTGCAAAAAAAGTGGGGGGGCTAAGCCCCCCTAGCCCCCCCGGTTCCGACGCCTATGCAAAATTATTATTTTTTTCATCGCTGAAGTCAGAAACGAATCGGGCAAAAACTAATGACCAAATACCCTTGCATTCCTATAACAGAAGAAACTGTGCTCCTGCAGAAAGTGAGCAAAATTACTCGAAGTTCTAGTGAGAAGGAACTAGCAATTGATTCTTGTCAGTAAGGCATTAAAAAAGGAGAAGTGATATCCCCGCGTGTGTTGTTGGTGCAAGTTACATAGAATTCGGAGATATTCCCTTCGAATTTAAGTTTTGACATTCATGTGATTTGGAATGTACATTTCATCATTTTCAATTTTTGTTTCTGTGACTTGGAATATATATTTCATTACATTGTGAAACATGTTGGATTCATTACTTCAAATATTTAATTGTGTATTTGTTGTGTTTTCTTAATCCATTAACTTACCTGTAGCCTTTCAATAAGTTATTAAATACTGTCCATTATTTTTAATAATGGACAGATTTTTTAACTTATTGGACGGTTACAGGTAACTTATTGGACTGTCTTGGGCTTTTCAAGGAATAGAAAGTATTAAAAGAACAAAAGATGACGTCATTCTAATGTTTTAAATCAAAATTATATTCAGCATTCCCATGTAGTGTGGATTTAAATTTGGTTTAATCTTGGGGCTAGGGTCAGACCACAATGTAGGGTCAAAAAGTTTCGGGGGAAACTAAACTTCTGAAGGACAGCAGGGCCAGGGCATCTCATGTGAGTGTCTTGGCCTTTGAACTTCTTATTATGCTGTTACAATGAATTAAAACATATATCGTGTTTTATAACATTTTTAACAGGGAAATACTGTAATTAATTTCATGAAAGAAAGTGATATTTTGTTAGAGTGTGAGAGAATACCAAAGTGATATTCTGTCACAATGTGAAAGAATATCAGAACTGCGACAAAACAAGATTTTCTTTCCCTTCACAAAGAATGTAAAAATTACTCCCTGGCCTGTTATAAGATAGAGTAATTAAACCATCCTGACAGAGACTAAAATTGCCAAAGTTTCTCCAAATTTGTTGTTGAAATCCATGTTTACAATGTTTTAAATCTCACAGTCACTGAGCTATGCTCAACTAAGATGTCACAGCCTATAAGACTGTGTTATGAAGACAGAGGAAATGGGAAAATCAAAGAAAATGTAATAAACAGACAGGATTTTTTTGATATTTTCACTTGTGCTTTGCACTCATGAAAATATAAAACGAGACCCATGGCCACAATGCTCACCTGAGTAACTTTGGCCTTGCTGTTCACCAGATTTTCCCCCTTGTTAGTTCTGATCACATTTTGTCTGGCATATTCCTTGAAAAGCCCAAGACAGTCCAATAAGTTACCTGTAACCGTCCAATAAGTTAAAAAATCTGTCCATTATTAAAAATAATGGACAGTATTTAATAACTTATTGGAAGGCTACAGGTAAGTTAATGGATTAAGAAAACACAACAAATACACAATTAAATATTTGAAGTAATGAATCCAACATGTTTCACAATGTAATGAAATATATATTCCAAGTCACAGAAACAAAAATTGAAAATGATGAAATGTACATTCCAAATCACATGAATGTCAAAACTTAAATTCGAAGGGAATATCTCCGAATTCTATGTAACTTGCACCAACAACACACGCGGGGATATCACTTCTCCTTTTTTAATGCCTTACTGACAAGAATCAATTGCTAGTTCCTTCTCACTAGAACTTCGAGTAATTTTGCTCACTTTCTGCAGGAGCACAGTTTCTTCTGTTATAGGAATGCAAGGGTATTTGGTCATTAGTTTTTGCCCGATTCGTTTCTGACTTCAGCGATGAAAAAAATAATAATTTTGCATAGGCGTCGGAACCGGGGGGGCTAGGGGGGCTTAGCCCCCCCACTTTTTTTGCAAAGATAGACATAATATAGGCATTGAAAATTGGGGCTTACCTTTTATCGTTGGTTTAGCCCCCCCACTTTCAATTAGCCCCCCCACTTTCAATTTGCTTCCGACGCCTATGCTTTGTTAATTTCTTTATCACCCGACATCCTTAAGCATGAAAACATCAACGTTGGGTACTGTGCAACATTCTCCCTGATATTTAAAGAACACAGTCACTGCCCATTTACATTTCTCTGTTTTCTGCGAAAAACCTTTTCTAAATCATCTAAATATTGTTGATTCAATTACCAAATTCTTTCTACGTTCCCTTTGTTTTTCTGCATCCTTGAATAGCCTTGGCCAAAAGTTGAGACATATTTGAAAGAAAAAAAACGTCCACTTTGAGTTCAAAGTTCATTATCTTGACAATCCTAACCTCAAAATCCAGTATTAGTAGATTGCTCATCATATCTCAATTTGATTTGCATCAGAAATATGCTTTCTCCCTCGGAAGAAGACGTGCTTTCAACATTGACAATCACACGAAAATGAGTTTGGAATCTCATGGCATTGTGGTTAAATATTCTTAATTCGTTTATTTAAAATGAGCACTTACCTGTAACTGTCCACTAAGTTAACAATTACAATGAATGTAAGTTTCTTTTGATTGTAAGCAACCTTTACCTGAGACAGTCCAATAAGTAGACAATGCTTACTTAATACAATGGACGAGAAACAATTCTAAGGAACACAATAGAGTAAATGTTTTAAGTAGGTTATAGGCCTCAAACTGTCCATTCTGTGAGAAGAAAGAACTATTGTCGGGCCTAACGGCCCTCCAACAGTTCTTTCTTCTCACAGAATGGACAGTTTTCGGCCTATAACCTTTACTTATATGTCCTTGCTGCTCTGGCTAAGATTTTTAGGGTCAACTGAGTCACTTGGTTGAAGTACTGTTTTTGTCCATTGGTCAAAAACTTTCAGCATTTTCAGCTTCTTTTCTGTAACTGTTGAACCAATATCAACCAATTTTGGCATATAGAATCTTAAGGTAAAGGGGAACAAAACTGAATTTCATGTCTCAGCCTCCCTGGGGTCTGAGAATTGGGGCCAAAACCATCAAAATTAATTCAGCAATCTTCAGAAATCCTCTTTTCTAAAGAACATAGTGGGCAAACTGATTATATGATAACAGTGAGTGCATAATCCTTTATCAAAATTCTAATACATGTACTAGTATTTATTTCCTCTGAGCCCCGTGTTCAGGCCCCAAAGTTGGGGCTATATTGGTTACTTATTGAAAATGCATAACAAATCTTGTTCCTTATTCATATACATCTAGCAGATAGTTTACATTATTATAATGAGCACTTAATGAGCCCCCCAAAATAGTGCCAAGTTGGGCAAATACAGTAAAATATGGCTATAGAAAACATGTTTATAAGAAATTCATGCTTGCAGCAAAGTGATTTTTATTTCCTGTGGTTTTAAAATGTTATTTGATATAACAAATTTCATTTATAACTAATCAAAATTGTTTGTCCCTAGCACTTCACCGTGTGTTTTACATTATTGAAAAATACATTAAAACTTGAAAAACGTTCTTCTTTTCTCCCAGACTTGAATCAGGCAAAGTGTTTGCATGAGTACTTAAACCTTTATCAAATAGTATAATTAAGGCCTTCTGGGTCCAGCATTTAGGCCCCGGGGTGGGGTTAATTTATTCATAAATTGAATTACATTACACTATTTACACTTTTAAAAATCTTATTTACTCGTTGACATGTAGCAGGCAAATTGTTTACATGATTATAATAAGCAGCTAGCCCTCTACAAGAAATATATAACCCATGCCTCCTGGGACCAAGGCAAGGCTAAACTGGGACCAACATACTCATAGCCTGAGAAACTCATGTTCCTCAGGTGACTGTCAAGGCCCCCATGGGCCTCTTGTATTGTGTAAACTTCCTAACAAAGTGCCTCCAAGGGTGGGGTTGGATCACAATAAAGGATAAAAATTTTACGTGGGTGTATGAAATACATGTACCGTAAAACATATTTTTTTCTGCAGGGTATAATTCCACGGAATGACAATTTCTGTTCAATCAGCAGGTAGGAAATTTTGAAGATTTCTTGGATTGTCATTGTATGTCTCAACTGTGGAAAATTTGTTACCGCATACATAACGTTAATTAGTCTTACATGGAAAAAAGTGTCTACAGTGAAAACTAATTTTTTTCTATATTGAAGCTGTTTAGATGTTACACATTGATCAATTGTTAACTTACGGGTAAACTAGAGATGCAAATTTGTAGCCTTTTGACAAAACAGTTTGTTAAAAAAAAATCTCAAATGATGTTTCAAATTTAATTTGAATTTCTTTATACACATGTACATCAAAACAGACACTTTTAAACATATAGAGCATATGAGGACCCACTGGAGTTTCTTTTTTTTAAAAACTTAAAGTAGCATTTTAATTACAATTCTCTTTACCAGGTACTTATTTTTTTAGCTTTTGACACAAATTATTGCACAATACTAAATTTGAATTACATGTACATATGGAAGTATCTTTCAGTAAACCCCTCCATATTTCTTTGTTTAACAAAATATTGAAGTCTAATCTTGAAAGCTGGCTGGGTCATAAAAAATTAGATTTTCTTTGCATGTTCTTCTGAAGATGCTAATTATTTCTTGACCAGTTTCTGATTCCTGCGAGGAGGTTCCCAGCGGAGACATGATGAATCTACAGTAAGCACCGGGCGTTTGTACTGAGCACTCTTTAAGTGTTCCTCCACAAGCTTTGGTGTGACACAGATGACATGCTGTCCTTTCCAATATTTGATCATGTTTAGAGACTGAAGAGTGCTGATGATGTCATTTTGTGTTATACTGGTCATCTCACTAAAAACATAAACATTGAGGAAAAAAATCAAAGATCAATACTTGTGGAAAAGGAGGTCCATCAAGCAAAAAAAAAGAAAAGAAAAGAAAAAATACTGGTATGAAATACATATATATGATAGGATCCTGTTTCTAAAATCCTTTCATCTCAGAATATAAGGCCACCTTTAAAAAATGGTTTGGTTGCCCTCTCCCGACTGACTAGCTAAAAATGACCCGACTCGAAACTTTTTTTAACCTCCAGGAAGCAATTTTTTTAATGCATTCTGGAAAATAGATTGATGTTGAAATTTTCTGAGGAAAAAAAATTTCTCACCTACCTACCAACCCCATTTTTTTTTTATCCTGAGTCGGGAGAGGGCAAACAAGACATTATTTGAAAAGTTGGCCTAAACAAACTTTTATAATGTTCACATTAAAACATACTTTTTTCATTTTTTTTTTTACAAATACCTGCACAATATACATGTAGATCTATTAAAATTGTTTATATTCTACATTTCTTTCTAATGCAAGGATGACTGGGTCAACTGCATTACACGTATTTGCAAGACATAATTTATGCATGTTATCTCATGAAAAGTAGTTTCAGTTACATATGCTTTCCCTCATACATTTGAACAGAACTTTGTATCTTCATTTAGAAAATATTGTGAATTCACATGCATGTATAAATAGTTTGTTACATGTGCTTGAACAAAACTTAATTCCTTCATTTAGAAAATATTGTGAGTTCACATATACGTATACAGTAATTGTGAAGAAAATCTTGTTTAAAATATGAAATTTGAACCATATTTCCTGTAAGTGTCAAACCTTAAATCCCTGATGGACAATGTTCCTCGGAAATCTCGGAGAATTTCCAGGAGGACCCAGGACCAGTAACTCCTGTAGCTTAGTTTTCCAAGGTCAGAAAGAGGCTTCTCTGGAGACCCCACTGTTCCCTCCAATTTGGACAGTTCATAACCTATAGGGATAAAATAAATGATAAATCCATACTTACTTAGTAAGTACTTAAAAGAAAAAAAACCTATCAAATTACTGTTTAAAATTTAATACCCTGATTATCAGATTCTAAATTTGTCTCCACCTTCCAAAATATAAAACTCAGTGAAACTGGTTAGTAACAACTATGTTGAAGTAATAAAAACTCCTAGCTTTCATACTTACATTGTATGTTTGTTAAATACCCACTTAAATGTGATGATCTCTAATAAGGCCTAAATGTTTACCATTCCCACACAAATTCCTGGGCTTTTCAAGTATAAATTGCAAAGTCAAACTTACTAAAAGCAATCAGAAACTTTCCATATCCTTTTCTTTGGAATGGTGGCAGGGTCATTATGCAGGCTACATTATTTCCATCTGGGGACTCTTTTTCCTGAAAACAGATAAACAAACAATTTAATTCTTTTTATTTTATCTCTGAATGAATATTTCATTCATGATCTCGATGATCAAGAGGAAGAATTCCACTAAAAGGCAAGTTTATCTATCTTCTGACCCTTGTTCTAACCTTTGAGAATTACACACTAAATAAGAACCCAGTTCAATGTGCTAATCTTTAAGAAATATGTAACCCTACTAAATGCAATCTTGTCTGTCTACCTCCTGATCAATATTCTTACCTTTGAGAAATACCCCACCAAATGGCAACCCTGTCTGTCTACTTCTGTCAGTATGTAAAACATGAATGGTTCCACATCAAAATACAGAGTTTTGTGATCCAAAAATAACTTGGCTAATAAACAAAGATTCTGACAGTAAATCTGCAATGAAGAAAATAGATCTGTCTAATAAAAATAATTATTGTGAGCACAGACTCAATTATGTATAAAAGACAAATATTTTAGCTTGAAAAAAAAAAGTGTTATAATCTACTGATTTCATATGTTTCAAGTTTTGTTTAGCAATAAATACCTTAGCATCTTTTCCATCTACTTCAAAAAGTGAAATGGTTCCTTTCCTGTAAATTTCTTTTCCTGGAGGGTGGCGATAAATACATTGACTCTGACCAAAGAAGATAAACACATGTGAATATTTCAATAAAAACAGGTTATGGTGATGTACAGCTTTAGTCCAAAAGCTTGTAAGTTTCCTGAACTATTAAAGACTATAGTAATTTGATGCTATTGTGTTCATATATGCAAGACAAAGATTTTAATTACAAATAACATAGAGCAAAATTAGTAGATTTGGGGGGGGGGGTAATTTTGATGCAATCATAATCACTCATTGAGATGGGGGAAAAAACCAATAAAATATAATATATGAAGTACTGAATGAATAAATGATAAATACCTGGTGATAGCGGTAAGAGCGCTCTAATCTCATGTACTTCAAACAGAATTCACAGATCCACAACTTGGACTGTTTCCCATACTCCTCTGGATAAGGGGAGAAATACCAAGCATCAATCTCGTATCGACCAATCTGGATTTTATCTATGTACTTCACTTTGGTAATCTGTAACAAGAAAAGGAAAACTGCACATTAACTAACTACCATATTTCAAATACATTGGTAATTTATGGAAACCGATTTTTTTTATTACTGATTTATACATACCGCTTCATGTTCTTTCTCCAGTGCAGCTGTTGTAGGGTCCATCTCAGCATACGTCTAAGAAAACAATTATTGTAATTTCAGCAGCAAAGAACATAAAACAATACATTAAAATTAACTTCTGGACAATTTTCTTCATTCACTGTGATTTACTTTCAATGGAATTGCTGCTACTGCTGAGGTTTATTTGTGGAGTGACATACAAACCTTCTGTATATGATTAATCTCATCATGTTTTCGTTTTTGGTTTCTTGTGATTTTTCTATCAGTTCCATCACTTAAGTCTGTCATCAGGATAGACATGTCCTTGATTTTACAGTGAGGATCTTCCAGTTTGTTGCTCAGGTCAAGTCTGTCAATTTCAACCCACTCATCCAAACGGCGATTAACTGTCAAAAATTACCATGGGTATGCAAAATGTGCTTTGTGTGCATCACTGTTAATATACACATTTATTTGTAACTTTCTTGTAAGGGTACTTGAAATTTCTTATACAAATTAATACTCAGAGTGAGTTATTTTAAAATGCTTACTTACATCCCTCATAATGGACATAGTACTCATGCTTCCCACTGCCATGATCCATGCCCCTACTTTGGATTATTTCAGCTGCATCTAAACATATCAATTTTTCTTTAAACAGGTGTTTACTTCAATACAAACCAACACAAGAAAGCAACACTGTGATAAGAAACCGTTTTGTGTTGTTTTTTTTTTAACTAGAAAATTGATAAAGGCATAAAGCCCCCCCAAACATGCTTATATCTTTCCTAGCTGATGCAAATGAATGAAATAATAATATTAATGCTATGAATAAAAGGCAAACCAAGCACATGAGAGGGGAAGCCTAATATTAGAATTATCTAATTGTGTCTTGGAACAAGCCCTCGTCATCATAGGTAGAACTCATACCACATAGCTGCAATGTAGCAAAACGGAGGGGATCCAAATCAGCACAATTTTGGAGAATTCAAAATAATGATGATCCACTGAAAACGTTTTTTTTCTCCCTTCAAATTTACATGCCATGTAGACATTACCGATAGGAAGTTTATGAATTGTTTGTGTATTACTGTATACTCATAGATCAGCATTATCTGCCTGTGTTTATTCTGCCACATAGCTAGCTGCTCTCTGGTTGAAAAATTCAGACAGACAAACCAAAGAGCTACATATCCATGCATTGTAAAACCTTCGATTTACGGCGATGTTAGTTTTGTTGTTTACTTTGGGTATTATACTGAAACACAAAAGAAACACAACATCCTATTTTAGGGGGGAAATATTATATATAAGATATGATTTTGTGCCTAAAAAGTAAGGATATCTTCAACTTTGTAAATATCGGTAATTTAACAGTTGAATGATTTTCATTCAATTACCGGAAGTTAAGTTTGAGTCCGCTTAGCAGAAATCAAAAATAGCATGTTTAACAAAACTTTTGGCAATAATAAGGGGGTTTAAGGGTTTGTATCTGTTCATCATAAGTAATGCAGCAATATTCCGAAAAATAAATTCTCCTTTCTTTTCCGTAAGCAATGCCAAGGCTTCCTGAAAATGACTTAAGTATGGATTTCCATTGCTCTAGCTGGAAAATCTCAAAACAAAGGTGATGGAGAGTTGCAGATGCAAACATACACTACATCACGCCTCAACATGCTCTTATATATCATTAGCATGAACCACAGTCCTTGGACCGGAAGTCCAAGGGTAACTACACTGTGTTAGGCTAGAGAAAATTCGACCTCAACGTCTGAAAAAGGGGCATTTAAAAATGGCAAAGAATATTTCTTTTCCCCAGATCTCGAGATTGATGAACCTATTGCATTGTAGAAATCAAGCTGCAATTGTTGTGCATGGCAGTTTTGCACGCTGTAATTGAATGGCCGGGTTGGGGCCGGGTATTTTAACAGTCATGTGTTACTTTCTAAAGTTGAAAGATAATCATTTTACATTTTTATCAAATCTCTGATGTTTTTAAATCGAGTTTTAACTTACTGTATTCATTTTTGAAAATCATTAGATAAAAAATTCAAATATTTGTAGATTACTGCTTGTTGCGTTTCTTTTGCATTTCAATATATTTCTTTTATTATATGTGTTTCCCAGCTTAAAGGATGATATTATTTAATTAACCATATTTTACCTATATTCCTGATACCTAATTACCTTTCAACAGTTACTTACAGCCCAATATGGCCTTGGAATGTCAGATTCTAAAATTCACATTCTGACATCCATACGGTGGGGATGTTAAAATAATGCACTCTAAAGATAAATAAAGTATCAGGAATAGGAGTAAAATACATGGTTAAATTAATTGTGTCTGATTTGTAAATAAATTTCAAATGCTGTTTCAATATGTAAATCATACCTTAGTTATACATATTTTTTCTTTCAATTGAACTGATCGTTTAAAAAAAAATGCCTTTTTTGATTGTTTACATCTCGTTCAAAGTAGTGATGTTTACCTACCGCCGTTTTGAAAAACAGGTCCTAGGGTTGTGACCTCAGTGGAAATGTCATTTATATAGGCCTAAAATTTCAATGCGGATGTGGCTTCTGTTGACATAATGTAAACAAAGCAAAAAGGAGCACTAATACATTTGAGACAGGTCGTAAGAAAAAATTATATTTGACTTTTTTTGTCAAATGTATGTGGAAATAGGGGATTTATTCTAAGTGAGGTGAATTATTTTAATGTATATTTCTAACCTGTTTTGACATTACAGGGGTTAAAATATACAGTATCCCCGGAATTTACTTTCATTCCTATGTAGACTGGTTTCTTTTGACTAAGAACTAATTTAATTTGTTTCTGTCACCAAAGAGTTTGTAACTTTGTTATGTTTTCATTTTGCATAAAAAAAAAATTGTTGGACTAGTTAGTTTGAGGTTTTGGCTAGAAATTTTTTACTATCACAGTTCCAGTCCAAAGACTATTTCTACCTACTTAGCTATTAAGAGCCATTCTCTGTAACGACTTGAACATTTATATAGGAGCTGTGGCACGCATAGTCTCTGAATTTCTCCAAACTCTCTATGATAAAAGTCTTTGACACCGTTAACTCAAATCAGACAAAAATTGGTTGCTATGTGTCATGGTTACCATGACAACATGTCCTAAAGTTTGAAAAATGGCATTTTTCAACATGTTCAGAGTCCCCCATTTAACGTTTGCAGCAAAGCAAATAAGTGGCAATGATTGTTTCTGAAAGTTGAAGGCCTGATGTCTTAAATGCATGATAAACATGTTTGGTATTTCAACTATTACATACGTTTCTATGGAAACAAAGTATTCAAAAGTAATAATTTTGCCCATTTAATTTTATGAAATTATACACTTAAGAATAAAAAAAAATTATAGGTTGAAATGTAAGCAAATTATAGACAAAAGATCCTTGTAACATATACCAAGGAAGAAATATGATATTTCTTATAGGTTGGCAATGGTTGCCATGGTTTTAATACCACAAAGGGATTTTGAATTCACTCTCTTAGTGTTTAAATCTAATCCTATCTTTTTAAAAAGCATATTTCTATATAACTAATGATCAATTTTTAAAGACGTTCATGTGACCCAAATTTTCACATTTCAAAAAATTCAAATTCAATTCTTTAAATAGAGCGTTGCTATGGAAATAAGCCGAAAAATATGCATAAAAATCTGAAAAATATTCTGTTTCCTTGGATACGTACCCTTGTATGTAGATTCCCAAAACTTTTATGATTGATAATTATGAACAACTAACCTGACTTTCAATTTTGACTGCCACCCAATCTCTAACTGGATGCAAAAAGCTGGCACATAGGCTTTAATATTGATATGAAATTAACAAAATTGAACATTTTCCCTTCTTGGTTACCATAGCAACAGTGTTGTATTTTTCAACAAATGTTATCAATATATGATACTCAACTTAAGTTCTACCAAATAAGTACTATTCAAGGTGAGTCAAATAATATGTTTCTTGAATAAAAGGTAAGTAAATTCTTAAGGCAGCAAAAAAAAATCACTTTAAACAACTGGTACATTGTTTCCATGGTTACACTGCAACGTAACAATTAATCCCAATTTTTCTTATGTTGTCGGTATTCCAAGGTCCTAAGGATGTATATGTGCCAGTCATGAAATTTATTGTTTTTCCTGAAGATCTTAGCATTAACCCAATCTTAGCAACACATTTTGCATGGTAACACTGTGTTACCATGGCAACCATGAAAGTTATTTTTAGAATAATATTGCCAATACCTAATTACTTAAGGTCAAATATTTTTATTGTTTTTTTCTTAGGTTGTTGATCGAGTTTGATCATTTAAAACCTGTCATTGGTGAATATTGAGCGTTTTTCTGCATTTTTCAGCATCTAAAATGTATTCCAAATGTACCCATGGTTACCACTTACTTAGAGATAAATTCTAAATAGTTTCTTTATAGCATAAGTGGCAACAAGGTGTCAGGTTTTTGTGAGAATGGTTTGTTTGTTATTCTTAGTCTTTATTAAGGCTTAATAAAGATTCAAAGTAGCTGAAAATCTCAATTTTCCCAACTTTTCTGGCTGTTACCATGGCAACCAAGACACATAGCAACGAAATTTTATTTGATATATGTTTCTGGTGTCAAGTTGTAATAATGGGCAAAGTTTCATCAAAATCGGTGACCATGCGTGGCAAAGAAGTTTAAGTGGTTACAGAGAATCGCTATTAATAGTTACCTAGATATTTAAACCTACCCAAAGTAGCTATTTTTACCTACTTTTTGCATAACTTTCATTTTCTGGCCAAACGGCCGAACGGCGCAACATGGTGAATACCAAATTTCTTGATACAGTCACACTGATGATGAATACAAAAAAATTTTGGCCAAAAAATGATTACTTTGTACATTAACAATTTTGAATTCATTACTATGCAAAATTGTTAATTTATGAAGTAATCATTTTTTGGCCAAAATTTTGTTGTATTCATCATCAGTGTGACTGTATCAAGAAATTTGGTACTCACCATGTTGCGCCGTTCAGCCATTTGCCCACAAAATGCAAATAATGCAAGAAGTAGGTAAATATAGCTACTTTGGGTAGGTTTAAATACCTAGGTAGCTAATAATAGCTACGTAGGTAGAAATAGTCTTTGGACTGGACCTGTATCAGTAGCCCTTGGTGGGTTTTCCAGGAAAATTTCAACCCCTGCGCATAAAGAACTACTGTTTATCACGGCCGATGATATATACACGACCGTCGTGTACATAGTAAAGAAAGTCTATTTACACGACCGTCGTGCAAATAGCTATTGCAAATTGCAGAGATATCTACATGACCGTCGTGCACATACGTAAGAAAAAAATCTATTTACACGACCGTCGTGCAAATAGCAATGGCACATTTCCAGAGATATATACACGACCGTATACACGACTGTCGTGTGATCGAAACACGTCACACCGCACATATGTCCCTGAAGACACGACGTTGTTTACACAATCACTGTATTTATATTTTTTCAACATTTGTAAAATACTGTTATTAGATGAATAACTGAATGTTTGCAATTATGAATGGACATTTTACTTTTATTTTTTTTAAACACATTAAATTAGGAAGAATTAGTAAAAATAAAAACTAATCGATAATTTAAGTGACCCGATCCCGATCAGATTATATTTGAGCTGATAGTGTAGATGAGTCTATCTCTTGTTTTATGTGCACGTTTAGTCGTTTTTGAAAAAAATTAAATGGAATTGACACTTTTTAAAAATAGAAATGCAAGCAATTGATTGTTTCACATACTTAGTCTACTAATTGTTATGTTGATATATTTAATTACTTCAACTTTTTTTTCAATTTGATCTCAAGTTAAACAAGCATTCTGAGAGTATTGCATTAGCAATACTAGTCCCCTACCGGCAAGTGTAATCTGGTTCCTGTTAAGAATTGTAAATGCCATAATTCCGTCAAAAATTAATGAAGCGGGACGAAATGCAAACTTGATCTATAACTAATCAAGGTAAAGCCACATACCAAAAATCAGCTCAATATCTGAAAGCGTTTAGAAGAAAATTGCGGAAAACCCCTAAAAATTGAAAAGGCCGTAATTCCGTCAAAAATCAGTGAAGCGGAACGAAATGCAAACTTGATCTGTAACTCATCAAGATACACTCACATACCAAAAATCAGCTCAATATCTGCAAGCGTTTAGGAGAAAAGTGCGGAAAACCAAGTGGGACAGACTGACAGACAGACAGAGGGACAGACAGACAGACAGACAGACAGACGGACAGACAGACAGACAGACAGACGGACGGACAGACGGACGGACAGACTCAGAGGAAACCTATAGTCCCCTCCGGTTTCACCGGTAGGGGACTAATAAAAAGAAAAATAATAAAACATATGAGGAAAAGACACCTGTGTAAGATCTACACTCCAACTTCAGATTTAAAAAAAAAAAGCTTTCGTAGGCACTCCCTCCCCTATCTGGATCTTAAAATACACAAGTTCAGAAACAGGTTCATCCCACGAAATCCCGTCCGATTTAGCTTTGAGCTGAACTCAATACAAGTGCTATTAACGCTAATCACCGATATTCCCCTAAGAGTGATTCGAGACAATTTATGGCAGAATCTTGGAGAGGTGGATCTAAAAAAAAAAAATACTTTTACAAATATTTTCTTCGGATGTCATTGATAATTATAGCATTATTTCCTTTAATATGCTCAATATTATTTTGCTACCACGCGTTCTTCTGCTTTTTTGCATGTGGAATTTATTTAAATTTTATTTAGAATTAATCAAATTTCTCTTGAAATTTGAAACTGATTAAAATATTATGACCCCACAACCATTTCTTTTCACACCTCTCTCTCTTTACGATACAGCTTCTTTTGTGGAGAATTGATTGCATATTTTACATATAAAATTGAGACATCAAAATGCACGAGGACGCACGAGGATAGGTATACTACTAGGTATATAAGCTATTCAAGTGTGAAAAAGAATACAACTGAATCGTAATATAATTTCTGTCAGTTTCATAAAAATGTAGTGGAACAGTTTTTAGCCATAACAAAGAAAACAATTCAAAAAAAAAAAAATAAAATAAAGATTAGAAACGAAAAAAAAAAGGAAAGGGGGGGGGTGATCACTCAACATCCGCTTTAAACGAGAACTATTAACATATAAATATCATAATTGTTTAATTTGAGATAACATTTGTATAAACATGGTAAACTAGGGTTGTATGACAAAATTTTGGTTAAAAAGTGTATTTAAGAAATCAATACTAGAGTAGGCGAAAATACCTATCAAATGCGCTATGGCTCTCTTTAATTGGTGGAATATGGGTTGAGAGGGATGGGGTAAACCAAATGCTCACCAAAATAGTAAGTAAGTTAGTAAATATTTTATTATAATGACATGTGTATACACACAAGTACAATAGAATTTTATAATGGAAACATATCTACATTACACCCCGACCCATTGGACCTATATTTCACTTTAGCATATATAACATATTTTCATTTTCAAAAGAGAGGGCACATGCATTACTATTAGATTTGTACAAATATTTTTGACTTACTTAAAAGATTAAATCTAAAAATTTGGATTTGTCTTTGATTATTTTTCTTTAAGTGTTTAAATTATATAAAGCGTATTAGTGCCACGTAATATTTTTTTAAAGTTGGAATTTCCAACTTTATTCTTGGCTTTTCCAACTTAAAAGTTGGTTTTTCCAATTTTAAAGTTGGAAGTTCCAACTTTAATCTTAACTTTTCCAACAATAAAGTTGGAAATTCCAACTTATAAGTTGGAAAAAACCAATTTTTTCGGGCTTCATGCATTTTATTCGTATACTTTGCAGTTAATTGGACTCGCGTTGCTGTTTATAATAACAATGAAAGTAAAAAAGAATATTTATATAGTTATGATGAAAGAAGGAATAATTTTCTTTGCGATTTCATATACAGAATAATATTACATAAGAAAAGAAAACTAAAGAAAAGGATAGAAAAGCTCAAATGAAAGTAGGAAAAGCCAACTTTAAAGTTGGAAAAGCCAAGGTAAAAGTTGGAATTACCAACTTTGAAGTTGGAATTCCAACTTAAAAAAATATATATATCATGTGGCACTAATACGCTTCCGTAATATTACCAATTAGATCTGCATTTCTATTTAAATTAATATTATAAAAGAAAGTTTTTTCTGATGTTTTCTTACCAACTCATCCCTCCCACACACCCCAAAATGCTTTGAAGGTTAAAGGCACTGCGTGCCGAACCTAACTGGGGACGAAACAACGAATGACATAAGCGATGTTATGTAAATACGATACACGACGGTCGTGCAAATAGTCGTTAAAAATTATATACACGACGGTCGTGCGAATAGCCGATGAAAAATTATATACACGACGGTCGTGCGAATAGCCGATGAAGAAGTAAGTACACGACGGTCGTGCATATAGACACTGCCGTTTATCACTTTGTTACATATCCAATGTCACAACTTTTTAAGCAAAAACTAAGACTGGCTTTTTTATTTTATCATATAAACAATAGCGTCTCCCGCAACTTACGCCAAGTCCCGTCTGGACGTCTGACAAGGTAATGCTCTCCAATTACTGGCAACGGACCGGAAGTTTTGGAATCCTTTTTATCTTTGTCTTTATGTGATTCTGAAGCATTATTATCTGATCCATGGGAGCCCTGGTTTGCATATTTTGATTCGTTTTCAGTATTTTCCATTGAATTCTTCGCAACTTCTGCCATTTTCTTTGTCTTTGTGTTCTTGATTGTTGCAAACAGATTTATTATGGTTTAAAACGCTTCACTAACCATAAAGTATATATTCTAAATATAAAACCTCTCCGGATTTGCAACAAACATTCCGAAATAATTTTTTAAAATTATTATTATTTTATTTCTTTCCTCCTATTTAAAACATCTTTTCTTAACATTGATGTTGAAAGGGAAAATAGTGAATATGTACCTCTTATCACTGGTAGTGAAAAAAATGATATTTTTTCCTTGATTTCAAGTCAGGTCTTTTTATAGAATGTGACACCCCTATGACGTCAAACAAGTGCTGTTGGACTCGTCCAAAAGTTTTGTGACAACACCAATCCTTCACAAAAGTTATTTCAGACGGACATCATGGACAGAAGACTGATATTGTGTTTATTTGTTATTTGTTTTACGGTTTTACAAGCTAAACGCCATGGGTTTGAGTTTAAAAAGGTGAGTTGCATTTCATGAATTCGACAGACTGGGATGAATCTAGTGTGTGTCTGATTTGATTGGGGGGGGGGGGGGGGGGCAGTCTAGACGAACTCCAAAAACAGCGTGAACTCCGAAAATGAAGTCTTTGGCTCCGTCATGCATTGCGGCAAAATGGCGTCCGATGTAAACAAACAATGGATTGTCGCTCGCTTTCTCCAAATAAACGGCTGCATAATGGCTGTATTTAGTGCATTATTACTTCGTTTTATTTTTTGTTGAATGGATAATTGCATTTATTGAATTATTTTGTGGATATTGACTTATTTATCGCTTCAAACTCTTGCATAATAGTGAATTGGATATACGACATCGAATTCAATTCTGCCGGTAAGAAATATTTTCTTATTTAATTTATTGTCTCCTTGATTTAAATTTTATGTCGTTCCTACAATAAAGGTGCTTTAAATTTATTATTGAAGACACCCAACTTGTATTTATTTTAATCAGAAAATGCGCATTTTTCACCACGGAGCAGAGATATTAACATGTTCATTTTTAGAAGACATGTTGTGTCCTTAATATCTAGAAGAGTGGTTTTTAAAGTTATTATATTGATAGATAATAGTTTTAAAAATGTTTTCATAATAATATCTGTTCGTATGTGATAAAAAAAATCGGTAAATAACTATGGTAAAAACTTACGCGTTCAATTCAGATGTCGTACACAAATTAAAAAACCGTAATGCTAATTTATGTGTAAAATTCAGTCAAGTTTTTAACAGTTACAATACATGTACATATTGTCCCATTTTGCATATATATCCCTTTTATTATGCATATTTACTTCTCAAAACGTATCATTTTCTCTGTAATTGATCTGACCTGAAACGTTAACTTTAAAAGTAAATATCTCCTTTTTTGCAAATAAAATCAAAAATCTAACAAATACGATCTCTTCCAACGTCTTTTGTTTAGCATTTCTGAGTACTGGCATAATTGCCATACTTTCCAAAACTTTGCACGGACAGTTTTTGTAGACCCATCATTTTTGCTCAAAAATCGCCATTTTTTGTGTGTGTGCGCATGCGCAGACTCTATTTTCGGAGTCTTTTTCAGTCTCAATTTCTTACTTCCGGAAACGCTGTTTTTGGAGTTCGTCTAGACTGGGGGGGGGGGGGGGGCTACAGACATGTGTCATTGGACATGGTATTACTATTGTAAAAGATCCAATCATGCATATTGTATTTGTCTGTTCAACAGTTCAATATTATTCTTCCTAGAATGAGGACAATCACTAAATTTAATGAGGTCCCTGGTAATATACCCAAAAAAGGTTATAGGCCTAATCACCTAGACTGACTGGATGTTTGAAGTATCCTAATAGGCTATATAAGATTCTTGCAGTAGATTAGTGAGAAATGTACATCGTATACATTCCTTTAAGGGTAATGGGGATTGGGTACTTTAGTTGTAGACCAAATGCATGGTTAGCATGAGGTCCCAAGTTCAAGTCCCATGCAATCTATAGTCCATACTTTTTTTAACATGTTGGACACTACATATTGAAGGCTGAAAATTTTTTGGACCATACTAGGACTTGAACCCAGACTTTTGCTAATGATGTGGGTGTTGGACCACCCCTAAGCTACCAGGCCCAATAAAAAAGTGTTGACAATTGCACAGTTGACTTAAGGTCAAGATCTAGTGAATGAAAGGTGCCCACAGATTTCTCAAATTTGAGATACACATTCTTTTAATGATCCTTTACGAATATAGCTTGGTAAAATAAGGTGTATCCGGACATAATTTTAGGGTAAACTCATCGGAAAAACTGCCCATTTTCAATGAAAAATGAAGAAAGTCTGGTATAAAAATGGGACTTCTCTCCATCTCAGACAAAGGAAATGTATCAATATTGCCTACAGTCTCTCAGAAAACGGTTTTTCATATCTTCTTGATCTCTACTTTGAAATGATATTAAACAGAATAAGAGTATCGGGGTTACATTTGACATGATTTCAAATTGAAATCCATGAAAGTGCTTTATTTTCTTCATAATTCTATTGAAGCTGTAAAGTACGGGAAAAATTAAGTTTAATTCAATTATGACGTCATAATGAATCTAACACCAAGAAGAAAGTCTAAACTCATTTACTAGATCTTGACCTTAAATGTTAAAATTTGTTGAAATTTTAAGTCGCAAACCCTCAATAACTCCACCAATGAAGTAGCAAATTCTAATTATTTCCAGGCTTTCACTTAAGATTTCCTGGGTGCACTGGGATTTACCAGTACCTTTTCAGGGGCCGAAATTTGGCCCCATTCCCAATTGAAAATGAGTTCAGTTTTTCACAATTTGGCAGTATTTTTTCCCAATTGGTGAACAATGCTTTTATATTTAATTACGGTATCTTGGAAAAACACAAGGAAAATTGTCAGATTGTCTGTAATTTTCATCTATTTAAATCATTTAGCAAAGCTACAGTCATAACACGTTTAACAGGTCTAGGCAGCCTCTGTTTTTGGAGGATAGATTTTATCCTCTGAAAACAGAGGATAGCAGTCTTGCCACCTACCGGAATTTTCAAAACTAAGGGCAGTTAACTCTTAACCAAACAAATAACAGCAACTCTTGCATTTATGAACCGTATGCTGATTTCGAAATCAGAACAAATAATAGGTACAATTTCCTATGATGATGGATAATTCCAGATATTAAATCAATATATCTATATTTTTGTAATTGCCGTCAATCAGTTATTCGGTATACAGCTTGGAAAACAAATATTGCTTTTACCTGCCTGCGACTGAGGTTAATTATAACCACGCTGATTTTCCAGTACCGTAATTACGTGATAAGCAGTTTAGAAATTTTGATGAACAATTTTTTTGGAAATATTAAGTTTAATCATGTATTATTTCTTTCATTTAATAATTCTTTAGCACATCACTTTTAATATTTTATTTGTTTATGTATACACATGGCTGTATGAATATATGTTAATTTCTTAGTAAACATGTCAAATTATTTATTTTATTTACTTATGCTATTCAAATAATTTTTTTATTTTTATAATTATTCATTCAATCCATTTCAGGGATAGACATTAACTTTCAGATTCACTTGCCCTTCGGGCAAGTGAATTCAAACTTTGACTTGTCCAAATGCAAAACTTGGTTGCCCAAACCTTAGAAAGAAGACAATATTTATCTTAATTTATTATTGTAAATAAAGTGAGATAGGTCTATTACTTTATATTTGGCAAGTTAAGTGCCCGAAAAAAAAAATTGATGTGCTGCTCATGCTAAATTTTAAATACTTGTAAACTCACACAGCCATGCAGCAATATTTCCTTTAAAATAAAATTCATGTTTTTGAAATTATTATCTGTGCGATCTTTTTGTGAATTTTGATTTTTTTTCCCCTGAAAAACTGAAGCAACGCTAAAGGAAAACAGTTGCCATGTTTCGAAACATACATATCCTGATCAGAATACTAGTACATCGTGTGCCAAGAATAACTGGTGTTCCTTATATTCTGTGAGTTAATACATAAACATTTTATAATATCTTATAAATAATAAGAATGTAAAGAAAGTTGTCAGACAGAGAGCGTATTTTTGTCAACTACCACGAAAGAAAGACGGAATAACAAATCCGATTTTTTTAATAAACGGTATGATCTAGAAACGCTACCGAGGAATTTCCAAATGCAAAAACAATGTCAAATTCCTGGCAGAAATCAAATGTTCAATTTATTGTTTTGTTTATAAACTAATGTAAGATAAAGAAATCTATCAGAAATAATCACTTGCCCGATCGGACAAGTACATCAGCAGTTTCACTTGTCCGAATTGAGAATTTACTTGCCCCGGGCAATCGGACAACCGTTAATGTCGATTCCTGCATTTATACTTTTATTTGCTTAAATTATAAGGCAGAATAAATTTTGCGTTTTAAATACGCTTAAAATGCGTTTCATTATGTGTTTCCTTTTTTTGAATTAAACGAAAATATAAAAGAAATATTAAAGTCCTCTTTTATTTGTATAAATAGAGAAAAATTGTAAAAAATAAAACAAAATAACTAGAAATATTCAGTAATAATGGAGCGCAAAAAGTGCTAACTTTGAAAATTATAAAATTGCAAAATATCTAGACATAGAATATCCAATCGCCACATACAATCGATAGTTTAATGTTTGAACTTTTATTTGCATGTACTCTGGTGCTTGCACTTTTTGATTAAAGGTAGGCACGAGGTGTTTGAAAATTACCTGTGTTATCCTCTGAAATCGGAGGATAAACTATCCCACAATGCAACGGGGTTTCCATATATGGTAAAAATTTTGGCCGCCATATTGAATTTAGCTATCCTCCAAAAACGGAGGGCGCCCAGATCTGTTTAACATCGCCAACTTTTAATCCGAATTTCCTCCGTTTTTCTGAAAATGGTGATATTGTGTAATTATATAGATTAAGTTATTTCTACACACTCAATTGATATACGAGTGAATGGTAAGGACTGTAGGCATTATTTCAAATAGAAAAATATATTTTCAATCCATTAATACATATTAAAAGAGGACTTTGAGAAAATATATACTTCCAGGAGGTTTATATTTCCCAAAAACAGATTCTGTAATGACCTAAATTGGAATCTCATACACACATGTACTACCCTAAGTTGTATAAACACTTTATACTCATTGAAGTCAATTTTACTTTATTAGTCTGTTATTCATAATTGATCTTGTATTAAGTTGGATCATATATAATTGTCTGTTTGGTTGCCCAAATTAGAGTTCATGCTGAAATATTAAATGAATTACACCTGAATACATGATTTAAGCAACATTTTTAATTTTTCCCAATTTCATCAAAAAGCCGATAATTTTTTCCCAATACCCCAAAAATGGCGTTTCCCAAAATAGGCTGATAAATCCCTGGTGCATAAAATTCAAATTCTAGTATAATGTTGTGTCTGTCCCACAGGTGCTCAATTACGGCATTCTTTTTGCAAGGGCATATCTCAAAGGTCAAGGTCAGTGGCAATGAAACAGTGAATTAATGTTGGGTCATTTCTGTGGAGCCCTTTAGTGTCAACTAAAAGAAATGCAAACTTGTGTATGACGTTGCCTTTTTCCTGATTATTTGTAATGACCTTGATTCAAGGTTATTCCTTGAAGGTAAAGGTCACCAGATATTAAGTTATAAAAAATGCATTGATCATGAAAAAAAATTTGCACATACCGTACATGGAATTTGAATTGTAAATTATTACTGCTGTTGGATTGGTAACCATGTTAATGTCAGTATAATTTCAAGACGTACACAAAGATGCTTATGTGCAGCAAGCATTACTAAATTATGATATTTGTAACATTGGTTGGAAGTTTCTAAACATTTTTTGCAACTACAGTCAAACCTCCTATCTCGAACTCGATGGGACAGGGAAAAAACTTCGAGATATCTGAGGGTTGAGATATCGAGGGTAAAATACTTAAGAAATATGTCATAAGGACTTCCCAATCACTTTGACATATCCATGGTATTCGAGATATTCATGTTTGAGATACTGAAGTTCAACTGTAATTTGCACACGTATTTGTCAATTATCAGAAATAATTTGTCTTTGAAAGCCTTCTGTCATATCTTTTACAGTCTCACATGTGGAAGAAAGGACTGAAAGAGGACAAAGATTTAAAGTTTAAATTGTTTACTAGAGGTAAGGACTCTCCACAGACATATACAATGTAACTTTGGAGTTCAAATTCAGTCATACTGAGCAAAGTTGCCCAATGCCACATCAATCTATACATGCTGCAACATTAAGGGTTGTATTACAGTTCACTTGGACAAAAAAAGGATAACTTTTTTATCATCAACTACTGTAGATTCCTAAATATACGCGAGGAATAAAATATCACGTAATTACGCGAGAAGCACCGCTCGCGAAATAAAATTACTCGCTTTTATTTTTATGGTGCTTTAACGTATGTAAAATCTCTAGATAAATCACCCATTCCCGAATTATTGTTCTCGCGATTTGACGCCCATGGGTCATTTCGCGATAATAAGTACTCGTGTAAAATAAGGAATTTACAGTATTCATACTAATTATACTTCTTTTTTTTTTATAGTGGTATATGTTTTGCAGTACCTTGACATAAAATAATTATACAATTTTAGGTAATTGTGTGGAGACATGTAAGAGAAGTGAAGTTTGTGTGAAGGAGAAAGGAACAGAAAAATCGGTGTGTCTGGCTAGACATATTGTCAGAGACAGGTGAAGATATTTTCTCTTCATTAAATGGTTAATCAGGTCTGACTAGGAATGTTGTCAGATTTATTGTTATTCTTATATCATGAATTTTTCGTCAGAACCCTTGGGTAAGAGCATTCAAAATGTGGTCTTCATTCTTTAAAAGGAGCATCAACAAACTATTGTTTAATGGTTTTGAAATATGAACTTCGTTCCCTTTCAAAGTGATATGAATAATTTAGAAGAAGAGAGAGAAGATACTCTGAACAAATTGAATATTCATCATGTGAATTAATTATGTTACCAGGTACCTAATTCAATGTATGTAGGGAAAAATGCAAGTTTCTCTTGTCAATTACAAGTCAGATGTAGTAATGGGTTATAGAGAAAGGATTCCATGGAACAGTTTTGATGTAATTTTATGCTCCTCTAATGGATAGAGTGTAAGATATTCAGGGTTCAACAGGAAGCCTACCTACCTGTCTGTTACCTGAGGCAATGTTAGGTGTCCTGTTACTCTGCTTATGTTACCTCATCTGATCCTGACCTAGTTTTGATGACTTTTAAAAGAGAAAAATGCCTAGGGATATTTTATTTCTACTTAGAAAACACTTTTTACAGAAAAATAAGGTTGTTGTTTTTCTTTAATAGAAGAGTCATGTATATATTATATATGGGGATGGATTCAACATTATTTTGCTTGGCTCTAAGATTTCATTGTAGACTGACATGGTTGTTATAAAAACATTATTTGGGACAAAGTTTAGGAGCCGCCCTGTTGATATGTTTGAATGTCTCCACACCTAAACACATCTTTTCATTTTTAAGGACAATTTATTGTGACCTATTCTTTTAACAAATGCCAGAGAGTTAATCTTCATGGTCATGTTTTATTATGCATTAATTTTATGGATCTGCAAAAAGAGTTCATTTATATAAATGTAGTAGAAACTTCACTATAGAAATCAAGATGTTTATTGTGTTATTGTCATTACTTGGAAATGTATATATTTCACAGTAAATTTTCATGCACTTAAATATTAAATTTTTTAAAATCTACTTTTCAGCCGAAGATTATTGCGCAAGAGCCGTCGTTTACAAAATAGAAACCCCCACCAGCTCAATCGTTTCCAGAGGTTTAACAAACGCCAGAGGCATGGCCTTGAGTATTTTGAAAAGAAAGCTAAAGCATTTTCCAAGTATCAAGACAAAATAAACATCCTGAAGAACAAACATGCTAGACTTTCTAAACCAAAAAGTTTTGTAAGTATATTCCACAAAGCTATGGGCAGAATATATAGAATTCTACTAGAGTTATTTGTCAAGATCAAAGAAATGTTGTGGACATTATTCTCCAATAAATCACAAGATTTTCAAAAGCTGTTCAGATCAGAAACATGCATCAAACTTGTACAGGTGAAATGAATATATAACTTCAGAATGTAATTTACTTATTTAGACCATATCAGTGTGCCATCTTCTGCAGTCTAAATGTTGTGTATTGCTTAAAACATCTGATAAATGTCTATTTTTATAGCTTAAGGGGCTGTTCCACAGACCTTCCCACATTGATTTTACTGAGAAAGCAATAAAATTGACAACTGATTTGGCTATTTTATAAACATAAAAATTAATCAATATATGTTACAAACAAATTTATAAATGTTTAAAGGGTATAATATATTTTTAATCCAAAAGAAGCTCAAATCATCTGCATTCCATTGCAATCAATACACAGGTAAACAAACATGACCCTCAGGTGTTAAATGGAACAGCCTAATCACTGCATGGTGACAAAATTCATTTTTATATATAGGATACGATCAGCCAAATTTTATGGCTGTTAGTAGAAAAGAAATAAAGTTCTTGTTATGGTGAATGATGCAGGATAACCTCCGAGGTCAAGAAATGTTTATTTTGAAATATGAAAGCTAAGCTGAGACTTTCATATTTCAAAACAACATTCTCGACCTTGAAGGTTATCCTGCAACATTCACAAAAATGCAAACTTTATTTCATTAGTCACCTTTCTTCTCATTAAAATCTTGTCAATGTTGTGATTTATTTAAGGAATGAATTTAATAGCTACCCATTTTATATGGTATAAACTGGGTTGGGACAGTTTACGCTTTATAAACCGCAAAGCAGTTTATAAAAAAGCGTAAACTGTTCCAACACAGTTTTTACCATATAAAATGGGTAGCTATTAAATTCATTCCTTATGATTTAATTTTCATTCATTTAGTGTAAGCAAAAAAGATGATTGCCCTTGAAAATGACTTCAATTTGTACAAATTTTGAATGTAACGTCAGGCGGATCGATACGTCAAGTCATTGTGACGTAGGCAACCCAATTTATATAATATAAAGTAATTTTTTAATCCAGTCAAATACGGCGTTACAACCAGAATTAAATTATAAAGAGAAACAAGGATTTAATGAAGTGTCTCATCCTTTCATACTTTGCATTGGGGAGATAGTAAAATTTCATTCTTTTCATGGAGAATTTATTAATTAATATCAACCAAAGAGATAGATGAAATTATTTTGTCTTAAAAGAGTATAAGTATTTAGCCTGCATAATTCAAATTTTCTGATCTGTTATATTAAAAGTCGATTCACTAGTAGTCATTTCATTTACGCACTGCCTTATTACTGTATTTAGCATTTATGACTGTTTTAGCAGAATGATGAAAATTAATATAAATGAGAGGTTTTACGGTATTTAGAAAATTTATTAAAGTTTGTGGATGAAATTTTAATGTACAGTAAAAATTGCTTATAAGAAAGTCATGATTTTTTTAGTTCCTTATAACCCAATTTCTTTATATCCATTTAAGAAAGGGTTATGATAAGAGGGGTGGGTAAAAGACTTCTTAATGCACACAGATTTCCTTATCCAAGATTCTAATAAGTGAGTTTAACTGAAAGTAGGTTGTAAGTTTTGTTCATTGTCTTGTCCCAGGATAAATGACTAAGGTCATGTTTACAGTTAAAGTGCTCTAGAGGCTGGGTGTAAGATATGAATGATATGAACTTGATTTTAAAGTTTTGCTAACTCTGTTCCATATGCTGTATATAGGGTTATTTTCACCCTGTGTTATTTTCACCTATTTGCACTTGCAAACAATTTTGCCCTGTTTTAAGTTTGCACAGTCACAGTTCTGTTTAAGAAATTACTGCGTTCTTTGAATTTGCCTTGTTTTAAATTCACTCACCTGTAATTAGGGTGAAAGGGGTGAAAATAAAATGGGGGTAAAATTTTCCTTGTATGCAGTACCCCATAAGAGACACACTGAACTCAGTAACACTTACCAGAACGTTAGATTGTTTCAACACGTAACTATTATGTAATATCCTGACTTCACATCCCAATAAGTCTTAAAACAAGTAATTATTAAAAACGATTGTATACCCTTTGTTTGAAGCAATTTAAATTTAATAAGTTTTAGACTAAATAATCAAAAATTACAATTTGATTTTTCTTTTAAGGAGATTTCCAAAGACAGAGCCTTGTTGGAAAAGATAGAAGACGTTAAGGTCATTGCATTAATAATGTTTATTGTTGTTTTTTTCTAATATAACATCAGTCCATATCATATTTTGCTTTTTTGTCTGGTACATTAATTTTTTATGATTGTTAATTGTATAAAGCGTATGGAGTATTTTAAATTAAGCATAAAGAGTATTTTAAAATGGATTCAAACAAATTTAAAAAAAGTGACACTTGAAGTAATTCAAGTTTTATGCATATGAGAAGTAAAATAAAGGAAAAAAAGTTTCTAAAATAGGGGAGTAAGTGATTCACTTCTACTGTATTTAACTGTATTTAAATTAAAATTTATACAATAATTACTTTCAAAATGAAAAAAAAAAAAAAAACTGAATTTTACAGGAATTAATGGAGCATACTCATCAAAGTCCAATTCACAGACCCAGTTTAAAGGAGCATACTCGTCAAAGTCCAGTTCACAGACCAGGCAAGACTTCAAATGGTTGTCTTGAAATTTGTTAAATAAAATTTATTTTGAAATCTTTAGAATTAACTTGGACTTTATCTGAATTTGTTCCTGATTTCAGTTTGTGACAAGAAGGATCTGCATAAGATGAGGGGACGTCTCCAGGGTTGGTTTGTAACACTCCATGAGGAATATCATGAGAGTAAGATCAACCACCAAATATCAAAAAGAAGTGTGGGAAAAGACCAAGCTGGTGGGTAATCTTAATTATCTATCTATATTTAAATATATATGCAATCATCGTCGCAAGCCACGGGTTTTGTCTCCATTCTATTTCCACAAACTTTGTGGAAATAGAATGGACACAAAACCCGTGGCTTGCGACGATGATATGCAATGTGGATTTTTATTCCATAATTCCACCAGTGTATACATACAAAACTATCCTTGTCACAGTATTTCGGTCTCCAGAGTCACTCAGGTGACCTATTGCTATCTGTCTTTGTCCATTGTCGAACATCATGCATCAGTCAGAAACTTTTGAATATTTTCAGTTTCTTGAACTGCTGAACTAGTTTTGACCAATTTTGGCATATATACGTAGCATCAATGGGTGAAGGGGAACAAAAATTATAAGTTTTATGGTCCCTGATCCCCTGGGACCTGCAAGATGAGGCTAAACCCATCAAAAATTAGTGCTATCTTTAAAAAATCTTTTTCTTTACTCCTGGAGATCAAGCAGTCAAACTGTTGGCATGATTGTAATAAGTATTAAGCCCTCTACCAAAATTCTGAAATTCATGGCCCCAGGGTCAGGGGTTCTGGAGTTAGGGCAGGGCTCTAATGATCATGTTGTGAAAATGCATGATTTCTTTGAAACTCATTTTCTCTGCTCCTGGGTATTAAGCAAACAAACTAAGTGCATAGTTATGATAAACAAGGGTGTCTCTTCGAAAATCACGAATGTCATGGCCCCTGGGTCAGGAGTTCTGGTTTTAGGGTAGGGCTCTATTTATTATATAGTAAAAATGAATTATTTCTTTGAAAGTCTTTTTCTATGCTCCTGGATATTATATAGATAAACTAAGTTCATGGTTATGATGAGCAAGGGTTCCTCTTCAAAATTCATGAATTTCATGCCCCTGGGTCATTGGTTTTTGGTGTTAGGGAAGGGCTCTGTTGAATATTTAGTGAAAAGGCTTATTTTCTTTGAAAATCTTCTTCTCTGCCCCTGGGTATTTGGCTAACATACTTAGTGCATGGTTATGATGAGCAAGGGTGCCTCTTCCAAAATTGTGAATTTCACATCCCTTGGGTCTAGGGCCTCTGGTGGTAGGGCAGGGTTCTTTTGATTATATAGTGATGTTTGAAAATCTTTTTCTCTGCTCCTTGATATTAAGCAAACTAATTGCATACCGGTAGTTATGATCTTCCAAAATTGTGAATTTCATAGCCCCTGGTTAAGGGGTTCTGGTGTTAGGACTGGGCTGTGTTGAATCTTTTACTAAATGAAAATGCATTATTCATTGAAAATCATCTTCTTTGTTTCTGGGCATGTAGAAGGCATACTAAGTACAAAGTTGTAATAAGCAAGGGTTTTTTTAACCAGAATTTGAAATTCTGGACCACTTGTTTACATGTTCTGGTACTGGGCAGAGCTCTATTAATTTGTAGTCTACTGAGAGAGTTGCCCGTGTGGCGCAGTGGTTAGAGCGTTCGCTCTAGAGTCGCAGAGTAAGGAGTTGATCCTTATGTCGCGGGTTCGAATCCCACCGTGGGACGTGGAGACTGGTCTTTCGGATGAGACCGTATAAACCGAGGTCCCGTGTCGCAGTAGGTGCTGGCACGAAAAAGATCCCTCAATGCTCAATGGCCTTGAGTTTGTAGCTCTCCACTGGCAAGTGGTGGCATCTCCGTATGAGTGAAAAATTCTTTAGAGAGACGTTAAACAATAAACAAACAAACAAACAAAAAACTGAGAGAAGTTATTTCCCTTTGCTATTCACCTATGATAATTAATCACTGTGAATAATGTAATTGAAAGGTCAATTGAATAAGAGAATTTTACAAGAATTTTTATGCCTCGCCATTAATATGGCTGGGGCATATAGTATCTGTCACTATTGTCACTGTTCCATCCTTCCATTTTTCTGTCTGTCCTTCCATCACCCTTTATGTTTAGCTTAGTTTCTAAGAAAGTATTCAAGATATTTTTTATCAAACTTCATATGCTGATACATATGATGAGAGCTATTCAACTGCATGAACATTTTTGATCTTGACAGTACTTTGACCCTGACCTAATTTTTCAAAAAAAAAATTTGTTTAGCTAAGTTTCAAAGAAACTATTCAAGATATATTTTCTAAACCTCATATGCTAACACATGTCAGAGAGAGCTACTCAACTTCAACATTTTCTGACCTTGGCCTTTCCTTTGACTTTGACCTACTCAAAAAATTGTGTTTAGCTGTTTCAAAGAAATTATATAAGCTATTTTTACCAAACCTTATATGCTGATACATATTGAGCTTCATCAGCTGTCGCCCTCGTGGCGCAGTAGTTAGAGCATCTGCTCTAGTGTTGTGGAGTAAAGAGCTGATCCTTATGTCATGGGTTTGAATCCACTGCGGGAGGTGGAGACCATTCCCTCAGATGAGACCGTATAAACCGAGGTCCCGTGTCACAGTAGGTGTTGGCACGAAAAAGATCCCTCACTGCTCAATGGCCCTGAGTGCCAAGTATAGGTATAAATTTGCAGCCCTCCACCAGCAAGTGGTGGTGTCTCCATATGAGTGAAAAATTCTCGAGAGGGACGTTAAACAACAATCAAACAAACCAACTTCAGCAGCATTTTTTAACCTTGACCTTTCCTTTAAACTAGATGACATTTCTCTTAAATTTCTGTTTAGCTAGGTTTTAAAGAATTTATTCAAGATCTTATTTTATTTATTTTAATATGCTAGTACATATTGGAGGGAGTTATTCAGCTGCATCAACATTTTTTTACCTTGACCTCTACTTTGACCTTGACCTCACTTTTCTTATATTATTGTTTGGCTCAGTTTCAAAGAAACTATCTAAGATATTTTTATCAAACCTTTTATGCTAATATATTGATGAAAAGTATTAAACTTTATCCAATTTTTTTACCTTGACCTTTCACTGACCTTGATCTCACTTTTCTTGAATTTGTGATTATCTCAGTTTCAAAGAAACTATTCAAGATTTTGCTGATACATAATGATGGGAGCTATTCAACTGCTTCAGCATTTTTGACCTTGACCTCTCCTTTGACTATAGACTTGTTTCCCAAAAAAATTGTGTTTAGCTAAGTTTCAAAGAAACTATTCAAGATATTTTTATCAAAGTTCCTCTATTTTGATGAAAGCTATTCAATTGCATCAACATTTTTTACCTGATCTTTCTTTCGACCTGGACTTTTTTGGTGAGTATTCATCAACAGTGTCCATTTTTTTACCTTGACCTTCCAAATGGCTTTGAGTTTGGTATTTATTTTGTTTACAATGTTACATTACTAATGAATCCTTTGCGGGGCATTCATGTCCTATGGACATACTTTAGTTATAATATATATGTATAATACAAAAAGTATTTTCAGAATTTTTAATGGTCAGATAGGAGTTGTAAATAATAGACAATTAAAGAGACCAAAATACCTTATCTTTTTACATTAAATGTTCTTCAAAGAATAAGAAAGACCAGTGTGAGAGGGAATGAGATTGGTATTCTAATTAGGCTCAAGCATTATTGTTTTGTTTAGTCAGAATTGTGATGGTGACAAATAGGGGCAAGCACATGCAAGTAAATAGATCTACTTTAAGATTTGCTGAGACTAGACTAATTATGTTGATCTCTGATCATCCTTTTTCTCATGCTTTTGGGCAACATAGCATCTATCAGTTTATTTTGTTTTATTTTATACTTCTTTGTATCCTTTACATGTTGTTTTATACTCAGATGACCCTTAAGACCCTTGGGCCTCTTGTCTTGCAAAATAATTGTAAAATGCATGCAGATTTTATAGCTATTGTACACATTGATATAAGGTGTACAAAACAGCTTTTGATTTATTTGAATCAAGGAAATGCATGTAATTCATGATGCCATTCATTCTTCCAGATGGAAAGTGTCACTGTATTAAGTCTGTGATGTGGCAATTTCATCAGCTGGACAAAAATAAGGACCATCATTTGGACAAATATGAAATGTCCGAAATAGAAAAGAATCAGAAGGAAGCTTGTATGAGGCCATTCCTGAAGTCTTGTGATACAGATGGTGACTCGCGACTTGGTAAACAGGAATGGTGCTGCTGCTTCCAAGCTGAGGCCCCATGTCATCTTGCCCAGAAGGAGGCCCAGCAGGGGAAACTGTTAGGAGTAACCACTCCTCGGTGTACGGTGGAGGGGTACTACAGAAGGATGCAGTGTAATGCTAGTACAGGCTTCTGTTGGTGTGCTGATCTGAATGGAAATGAGATCAGAGGAACACGGATGTCTATGAAGAAGGGAGAGCCACACTGTGGTAGGTAGACCTCTTACCATCAGAGAAGATGCGCATCTAAAGATCAGACTCACTTCAATTCAGTGTGTTAAAAAAATGAAAAATCTGACCAGTCCGCAGGGGATGCTTATCCTCCTTGACACCTGATCCCACCTTTGGAATTTCCAGGGGTCTGAGTTTTATGCCCTGTTCACAGATTTGTATTGCTTTTAGATTTTTTGAGATTGATCACTGTTTGTCATCTTCACCCTTTTCATTTTCTGTTTTTGCAAGATTGAAGTCTTAAAAAGCCTATCCTCACAAAGTCAGGGGTCCTGAGTCCACACATGGTAGTGGGACCCCTGACAAACTTCATTTACATATTTTATGGGCTGAATGCAGGAACATATTTCAGAGAAATTACAAATCATTGTTTTTCATTTCTCTTGACCAGTCACATTAGGTTTATCTGTGACAAACAATCTGTAACATTGAGGTGTCAGCTGCTTACTTTCTATTTACATTTTATGTCAACTTATGAGAGTCCGTATTTGATTGGTGCTTCTAAATGAGAGAAGCATGCTTGTAAAATATAGAGTGAAGTTTGTCAGGGTCTTATTTTCTGGATCAAAAGTCAAGGTCTAAAAATCTCTGTGTAAAATCCTTGTCCAGAGCATATTTTCTCTCTCCTTGGCTCATTTAGGCTCATACTTCACTATAGAGTGCCTGTGGGTAGAGAGTGTGCAGTGACCTTGATCCAGTTTTCTACATCAAAGGTCAAATCTAAAAACCTCTCTGTTTAAAATCCTTGTTCGGGAGCATATAATCTCCCCTTGGCCTGGTTGGGCTCATTCTTCACCCGTAAGTGTTCCCATGAGAAGAGGGTGTGCAGTGTCCTTGAGCCAAGTTTCTACGTTAGTGGTGAAGGTTAAAAATTCTTTTCTTGAAAATTTGTTCTCCCCTTGACCCATTTGACTTAAACTTCACCCAAAGAGTGCCCTTGGATAAAGGGTCTTCCTAATGTTCTTTTGCTAGAAGCTGGGCCCTTTGACATGGTCGGCGACCAATGGTCACCATCTCAGTGTCACCATTTCAATGATTTCTAGTTGACCCTGTGACTATGGTTGTACCACAATAAGGGGTGAAAATTGTACATTGAAATACAGTCTTGTGCCAAAAGTATTTGTAAAAAAAAAAAATAATAACAAAAAAGAGGAGAATTTGTTGAAAATTAATTTGTAAATCTTATATACTAGTATCTTGTAAATTCTGAATATTGTTGTAGGAAAGTTTGATGCCTTGGGACGTGTGAAGACTCACCAGAAAAGGATGAAGATGAAAAATTAAGTGAATGCAGATACATGAAACTCTCAAATTTATCTTTTTATACTGGTTTGTTATATTGCTCAGAATTTTAAACAAATGTTTACATGAAAAATTGCTGTACAGTGTATTTTATCTTCCAATTTGTATTTAATCAGAGTTTCTATGCAACTGATTTTTACTGTATTTGGTAATGGTGTGATAAAAAAAATGGTTGATCAAAGATATACATCATTAATTTTTAGTATTTTGAAATGTTAATTCTATTTTTCAAATACCTTTATTTTACAAAAATGTTTTTTTTAAGATGACTTTTCATGTTTTGATATGGTTATTTTATCTCTGAAGTTTTGAAAGCATTTTAATGATTTACATTCATAGATGAAAAAAGTTTATAGTTCCCACCATAGTAGAACATCTCAGCATTATTCTTTGCTGTTTTCATGTACCGGTACCAGTATACATGTACTTGCCTTTTTTATATCTTAAGTATGTTGTAGGTATTCATCACAAATCATGAATTTATTATTGTTTAATGCGTTCTTAATATTTATGGTGAGAATTGTTATTTGTGTTCTTTTCTTGGTTGTTCATATACATACTTATTTTGGTTGTGATAAAATGAGTAATTGTGTATAACAGTCTTGTGGAATTTTACTTCTCATCTTAAGTTATTTTAACATTAAACTGTATATTATTAGATGGAGGAAAAAAACTGTTGCTGTTAGATGAAAAATAAAAATATAATGGTATTAAATGCAAAAAAAATTGTATATATAATTATTAAAGTCATCAATAATTAGTCCTTTGTTTTGTAAATATATATAATTTGAGAATTTTCTGGGGGGTTTTTCATCTAAATTATTGGTTTTGGAAGAAAATCATTTGAAGAGGTATGAAAGCTAATATTACCTGAAATCAATTTTGACATTTTTTATTCTGAATCTCATGTTAAAGTGTCTTCTTGAAATTTACTTTTGTCTATTACCATATAAGATATTTGTCCATAAATAAAGCATTCCAAAATTTCACAATGTTGTATGATGTTGTACTCTTTATTATATTCAGCTAATTATGTGATGCCATATGTCATTTTTGTCCCCACTTTCACTGAAAATGGGGGATGTTAATTTGGCTCTGTTTAATACTTTAATTTCTGGACAATATGTCAAAAAGTCTTTGAGCTTTTGCATGAAATTTTATATACAACTCCCTATGACCCAAAGAAGACCCTAATTGATTTTGAGGTCAAAAGGGCAAAGGTCAGAATTTCTTACATTCTGTCTGCGTAATACTTTCATTTCTAGTTGATATATTAAAGAAAACCTTGAGATTTTGCAGTGAAATTTTGTATCACAACTCCCTATGGCCTAAAGAAAACCCTATTGATTTTGAGGTCAAAAGGTTAAGGACATTGGTCAGAAATTCATATACCCTGTCTCTGTGTAACACTTTTATTTCTAGACGATATTTTTAAATAGCCTTTGAGATTTTGCAGTGAAATTTTATATCAACTTCCTATGGCCTAAAGAAGACCCCTATTGATTTTGAGGTCAGAAGGGCAACGATCAAGATTAGAAATTCATGGTTTACATATTATAGATTTACTTTTCTTTGAGCTTTTTAATGAAAGTATATATCATAACTCTTTTTGACTTAACAAAGACCCCTATTGAATTTTAGGTCGAAAAGTCAAGGTAACATTCATATTTGCATAAAATGGTTTCCTGGTGATAACTCTAGTTCTCTTAGAGATTATGCAATGAAATTTTATACCTGTAGTCAACATGACTAAAAAGACTCCTAAAGATTTTTAGGTCAAAAGGTCAAAGACCAAAGTCAGAAATTTATATACTGCATACATAGTTTTCATAGTTTTCAGTAGATAACTCTAGTTCTGTGTAAGCTTTTGCAATGAAACAGAAGGCCATGAATTTCTTTAACCTTAAAAAGACCAAAAACTAGAAGTCAAGCTCAACCTTTTTTTCCTTCTCCATCTTCATATTTTTTTTTTAGTTCTTCCACCCTCTGACTGTATGTCTAATAAAACACCAAACTTATATTGACCACCAAAAACATGCAAAGACACTATTGTCTGTATTTCCTGTCTTTTTATCCTAATCTTTATTTGACTCAGTGTTAGGCTTATTTTGAAAGAATCCTTTAAAAAAAATTTCATATAATTCCTAAAAGGGTCTTAATGAAAGCATTTCGCCCTTTCCTGAATTTCATGACCTTGACCTTTTCTATGACCCAGACTTTTTCTGATTTTGCCTTATATTTTCCAATTATATCTTGAGGGATTCTTTCATACAAATTAATACACAGGCCCATAGCAACGGTTTCAAAAGCAGGGGGGGGGGCAATTCCCCCCCCCCCCAAAAAAATCTGACAAGCAAAAAAAAAAACCTGACCAAAAGTGGGTGGGGGGGGGGGCAACTTCCTAATATTATCTGACAAAAAAGGCTAACCTAACGTCAAAAAAGTTGGGGGGAGGGGCGCAACCAGCATTTAAAGGAAAATTTAGTATAGCGATATACACTCAGTATACTCAATATATACACCCCCACCCCCCCCCACCCCCCCCCACCCGACTTCTAGGGACCTGATACAATAAAAGTAGATAAGCTGCAAAAGATAAGTTAACTTAGCATAGTAACTTTTGAGTTACCATTCGCAGAAAAATCAATAGATAACCATTCTTTTTCATGTTGATCTGGAGGGGTGGACAACACAATGCTATTCTTTTTAAAATAAAAAATTGAAAGGCCTAAGTGAAATTCTTAATTTTCGAAATTTTATTCACTAATATAGGAGACTGGGCTGGAACTTGGATTTCCATGGCCTGAATGTGGGGGGGGGGGGGGGGGATCGTAAAAAAAAATATCTGGGCAAAAAAAAAAAAGATAAAAATTTATTAGATATGAACATCGTTTTGATGGGAGTATATATTAAAATTGGTTCAAGCCACATTCTATTTTATTACCAAGTGTTTAGAAGTAATTAACTTTTGAGGAAAATATAGTTTTAAAAAAATAGGCGAGCCCCACTTCATCCCACTCCATCTTTCCTGAAACTTTAAAATGGACTTGAAAATGAACCTTATTACATTCGCATCTTACAACTCTAAATCTTTCATCCACCCCTCCAGATCCACCTACTCCCAAGGTTGATATAATGTATTCACGTGACTTTGTTTAGAGTGCTTCATCACGTGATGTAAATATGGCTGACGAAGAATATGAAGCGACAGAAGAAATGGAAGAAAACGATGTAATAAAACCTGTTTTCGTTGATGGAATGGTGAGATAATTATTGTTTTTTAATTCATTATACCCACATTTTTTTTTATCTGTAAGGAATAAAGCTGAAACAAATCACCAGGAATGAACAGGCTAAGAAACCGTAGGGTATTTTTAATCGGTAGAATTTTTACCGATGATATGTTATAATATTTGCCTATCATTATAAGCATCATCGTTTGCCCATTTTGACAGTCTCAACTTTACAAAATAAATAAGAAAAATCTTTTCAACCCACTAAGAACATCATGAATATTAACCATAGCTGAGACATAACTAACATGTTTGAGTGTTTCATGTCTCTGATCATAGCTTAATTGTCCTTTAAATTTAATATCAGTCAATAACCTTAAACAGGTCCAGCACAATCTCTTGCTTTAACTATATAGCTTCAAATAGCTTTATTATTTTTCTATTAAGACAATGAAAATTAACTAGTACTGCATCGCAATATATACCTGATCAGGGGTAGACAAATAGAATTTTTCAGTACATGTACTTGCCCTCGGACAGGTTACCATTGTAAAATGACTTGTCCTACCAAAAAATATGCTTGTCCCACCTTTTTCTGAAATAACACAAAATGTAAGCATTATCATTAACATTTAGGACAAACCAAGACCCCAAATCACCTATCTAATTTAAGGGAAATTTCTAATTCTAGGGAGACTTCTTAGTGTGTTAATTTAAAATTTTAAATACATGCCAATGTATGCACATGTACATGTTTCATTTCCATGTACTATTTAAATGAAAACAAAAAATAATATCTACATTATTTTATTATGAAAAACACTTCTCAATGTCGATTAAGGTTATTTACATTATGACAATAAAAAGGTCTAAAATCCTCTTCAACTTTTTTGAAATGACATAGAGATAATCATTTATAAGAAGAATTTTTGTTTCATCAGACTGCCTTTGAATTTCTCCTTTTATTATTTATTTTTTATGACACCATAATCGAAGATTTGGGGGCATATAGTTTTTGCTCTCTCTCTGCGCCCGTCAGTCCGTCAGTTTGTCTGCAAAAACAATAACTTGCACGTAACTTTTGATTAGTTGGAGCTAGGGCTTTCATATTTCACATGTACTGACTATTCCTTGTGACAAAACCTTTTTTTTGGTACCAACATATTTGATCTCTTGACCGTGGAAGTTGACCCATTTTTGCAAAATTTTACTCAACTTTAACCTTGGCAGTAATTTTTGAACAGTTGGTGCTTGGGCTATATAATATAGCCCCCACCCCCCGGAAAAATTCCTGGCAAGAAATTTGTATTTATATGTAAGAAAATCTCAGCATGTTAATGTATGTTGCATTTGTGAGTGATAGAACTGAGTTAATATTTATACTGGCAGCTCTCCTTGGCTGGACAGGATCTGACCAGGATTCCCAGTGAAACTGTCCATGAATTTGCTGAGAAAACAAGAAGACTAGATCTGAGTTTTAATTGTTTAAGGTAAATATAATTATGATGCTAAAATAATTTTTTCTTGATTAGGGAAGCAAAGACAGTATTATGAGAATGTTTAAATTTATTAAAAGAGTGAGAAGCAATTTTCACTGCAACTAATGTTTTTTGGAGTAGATAGTGCATTGCATGTTATCACCATGATGTCAGAACACAGAAATGTTAATTTAAGATAACAGTTTTAATTATTTATGCATAGTATACATGTACATTGTTATCATTCATTTCAAGTAGCATACAATTTTAATATGTATTGTTGCATTATTTGCTTATTTTATTTTATTTTATTTATTTATTTATTTATTTATTTTTTGATTTCTGAAGTGTGGAAATGAAACCAAATAAGTCTAAATCTTTACGTATTACATGTACTCTAAATTTATGTTATTGCTTTCTGACTTTAATAAAAAAAATTTACAGATCATTGGAGGGCCTGGAAAGGTTCACACAACTGGAGGAACTTGTGTTAGATAATAATGAATTAGATGATGGTATAAGGTTTCCACAGCTAAAGAATCTACATACCGTCACATTAAATAAAAACAAAGTATCCTTTTGTTGTTAAGGAATTTATCATCATACTTCCCCACAAAGGAAGTTTGGCAGTAATCAAAGGAATAACCATGTCCATCTGTATGTCCACATGCCTAGCTCTCTGTTCCATTTATGTCCTGACTGTAAATTTGTAATGGAGACATTTTAGAAACTCATACTAACAAGAAAATGTTGTTTATGACAAGAGGATGTGTCATGATCCTTTATCAAGGTCATTTGGACAGTGTGAAGGACACAGGATTCAGAGGTATAAATTTTTGTCAAGTTGACCCATGATTTTGACTCATAGACACAATATAAGCTCATTCTTAGCAAAAAGGTTCTTTATAATAAAAATTCATTTCATAAACCATGGTCATTTGGATAGGTCAAGGTCACAGGGTTCAAAAGTGTAAATGTCTTATCTGTATGGTAACCCTTAATAGAATATTATTAAATGATCATCTTTAACTGAAGTTGATTATGACCAGGAGATATGTATTATTAACTCTATATCATGGTGTTTGTACCCTATCAAGGTCTAGGGCTTGTAAATTTCTAAAACTCGCAACTTTGTTATGAAAGAATATAATTGACTCAAAGATTAATCATTACACTATTTGCCAGGATTGTTAGCCATAGTGATTCTGGCAAGAGCAGCATGAAATAGCTCAGAAGTGTCAATCTTGTGAGGGCCAACTAAGTGCAAGGATGGTAAAAACTCATATTCTTTGGTAAGCCAAATTGAGGTTGTTCATGAACAGAGAAGATCCAGGTAACTTGAACTAAGTAGGTCATGTCAACAACATCAAGACTCAGGAGTGGGATTCTTTTTTGTAAGATCCGCAGAACTCATTACCTTTTTCTTCTGTGTCGTGCTATATTAGAACAGCTCAAGATTTAATTCTTTAAAAAAGGGTTTGGAATAATCCCAGAATAAAACCAGTTCAAGGGAGTGGATTATCCTGTTCTAGTTGGTACAATCACATCAGCTGATAACCAATGACAGTCCTATATCTGGTATCTCTATTAACCATCACAGCAGCTGACCACCAGTGTATCAGTCCTATATCTGGTATCTCTATTAACCATCACAACAGTTGAATACCAGTGTATCAGTCCTATATCTGGTATCTCTATTAACCATCACAGCAGCTGACCACCAGTGATAGCCCTATATCTGATATCTCTATTAACCATCTCAATTTATTGATCAAAGGTCAAGGTAAACAAATATGTTTAAAATACTTGTCCAGAGCATATTTTATCACTCCATAGTTCAATCTGGGTCATATTTTATCCATAAAGGGTGTGTCGTGTCATTTAACCAAGTTTCTAGATCAGAGGTCATAGCAGAACCCTGTGTGAAATCCTAGTTAAGAGCATATTTTCTTTCCTATTGGCTTCATCTGACTCATACTTTATCAAAATAGTAGCTGTGAGTAAAGGTGTTAGTTAAAGTTCAAGGTCAAAGCAGATCTCTGTGTAAAATCATTCTGGAGTATATGTTCTGCACTTGGAGCTGTGTGGCTAATACTAGTACTTTACCCAGATATAGTGGCTTTGGATAAAGTGTTAACAGCGTTTGAACCAAAAAAAAAAAGAAAGATAAAAAACAAATAGCAATTTTTTCTCCTTCACACTGACACAAAAACTTTGAGTCTTTTGATGGTCCCTTTCAAATTGATGTCCTTATCTTTACTAAAAGCGAGGCCCTTTGAGGTTGTTACCATCTCAATGATATCTTGTTGTCAGTTGGACTATATAACTGAAAAAATTAACATTGACAATTAAGAAGAAGAACTTGAGATTGTGTATTTCTCCAAGCGCAGTTTAATTATAATGAGCTTCAGTGTGTTTTTGTGTAGTTTGAGGATGTAGCCACTTAACTTTAGAGTTCACTCATTCAGTATGTTAGGACAAAAGGTTTATGTGTTGTTGAAGGGAACATACATATGTTCTATATATTATAGATATCATTATCTGATAAACTATTTTAAACAAAATAATTTTAAATCCACATGAACTATTTTTCTTCCTGAAATAATGTTAAGATAACAAACCTTGATCAGTTATTGGACAATCTCTCTCGAAACCTGCCTAATTTGACCTATCTGAGCCTGCTTAGTAATGAGGCTTGTCCCAATCAGCTGTCAAGCCTGGACAAGGATGAGGAGGATTACCAGAGATACCGGTCAGTGCATATGTAACTATATTAATAGTACATGGCTCACAGCAATGTTACCTGTATAATTACCTGTACAACTCAATAGGATCTTTGTGAAATGATTTCATTATGGTTTAGAAGGAACCCCCAATATGAATATTTATACATATTCATAGCAAGTTCTTTATTTGTTTAACAAAATACTATTTTTAAATTTCCAAATAGGTACATATACTGTAAACCAACTTTTATTCGCATGCGAGAAATATCCATGAGTTTCGTGACCTACTTTAATCACCATGAACCATTTATTTGCTTTGTATTTGTAGAGAATATTTCCTCAGTCATGAAAATTAATCATCGCAGATTGATCTCAAACTGACGAATCATGAATAAAAGATGACGTGAATAATAGTTGGTTTACAGTATATGGATTTTTAGGTCACCTGAGTCACTCAGGTGACCTATTGCTATCCGTTCTCGTCTGACGGCATGTGTCATGTGTTAACATTTGAACATTTTTAGCTTCTTCTCTGAAACCGCTTAACTAATTTCAACCAAATTTGGCATATAGCATCTATGGGTGAAGGGGAACAAAAATTGTGAATTTCATGGTCCCTGCCCCCCTAGGGCCTGAGGGGTGGGGCTAAAACAACCAAAAATAATGCAAACTTTAAAAATCTTCTTCTTCACTCCTGGACATCAAGCAGTCAAACTGTTGGCATCATTGTAATAACCATTGAGCCCTCTACCAAATTGTGAAATTTATGGCCCCAGGGTCAGGGGTTCTGGTGCTTGGGGTTGGGCTATATAGATCATATAGTGAAAGTGCATTATTTCTTTGAAAATCTTCTTCTCTGCTCCTGGGTATTAAATTAAGTAACTAAGTACACAGTTATGAAGAGCAAGAGTGCCTCATCCAAAACTGTGAAATTCATGGCCCCTGGGTCGGGGTTCTGGTGTTAGGGCGGGGCTCTATTGATTATATACTAGTGAAAATGCATTAATTCTTTGAAAATCTTCTTCTCTGCTCCTGGGTATTAAATTAAGTAACTAAGTACACAGTAATGATGAGCAAGAGTGCCTCTTCCAAATTGTGAATTTCATGGCCCCAGGGTCAGGGGTACTGGTGTTAGGGTGGGGCTCTATTGATTATATACTAGTGAAGATGTGTTAATTCTTTGAAAATCTTCTTTTCTGATCCTGGGTATTAAATAAAGTAAATAAGTAATAGTTATGATGAGCAAGAATTTCCTTTCCAAAATTGTGAATTTCATGGCCCCAGGGTCAGGGGTTCTGGTGTTAGGGCGGGGCTCTATTGACTATATATTGAAAATGCATTAATTCTTTGAAAATCTTCTTCTCTGCTCCTGGATATTAAATAAACTTACTAAGAACGTAGTTATGATAAGTAAGAGTGCCTCTTCCAAAATTGTGAATTTTATGGCCCCTGGGTCAGGGGTTCTGGTGTTAGGGTGGGGCTCTATTGATTATATAGTAAAATTGCATTAATTCTTTGAAAATCTTCTATGTTCCTGGATATTAAATAAACTAAGTACATAGTGACAATGAGTTATGATGAGCATGGTTGCCTCTTCCAGAATTATGAATTTCATGGCCCCTGGGTCAAGGGTTCTGGTGTTAGGGTGGGGCTCTATTGATTATATGGGTGAATTAAAAAAAAAATGACCACCAAACTGAAATTTTTTGGAAAAATTCAACTACTCATAACACATTTTCCACTTGTATCATCATATTGCACATGCATTATAGTTTAAAATCCTGAAGTGGCAATAGAATAGACAATTGGATTAAAAAGTTTCAGAATTTTTATTAGTAAAATCTTTTGAAAAAAGAAAATATCATTACACCTAAAAAGACTTTCTAAAATACATAATCACAAGAAATTATAGTTTTATATGCTTCAAAATGGTAAAAGGGGTATGAATGATTAAATCTAGACCTTGATTGAGTATCTTCTCTTGTATATACAGTACAATTCGTTTATTATCATGGTTTATTTGTCAGGCCAAAACTTTATAATAAGCGACTTTTATAATAACCATAGTCGGCTGAAATTCATGTCGGACGGCTGACTATACGACGTTTGTGTAAATTATTGGATGTATTATACATCTTACGTTACATATAATTTCGATTTTTTAGGTTTATTTGAAATACAAGTTAACTGACATATCATTTCACAATATTTACTTACTGTTTCAACTTTTTATTATAAATAAATTCACTTAAATAAAGCTTAATACGCTTCAAACTCAATCTTCTAGATCCCTTGGCATCCATCTTGTTTATTTTGATCTACTTTCATTTTTAATTTATGGTCAATTCAAATTACCAATGTTTCGTTTCGTATTTTTTTTTTTTTTTTTTTGGTTTATTTTTTTGGTCACATATTAAATAAATTAACACAGCAACAAAGCATGCATTCAAATTGTTTCTTTTATTCATCCAAAGTAGACATAAAAAAATTACCTATTTACACTCAATGTCGCCGTATAATTAAAATTAATTGATACACTGATGAGCATATGCATTCAAAGCCGCTTGGACAGACTGGTGAAAGAGTTAATTTCACTTAATTATTTCTTAATTAATCGGGCAGTTTTGTAAATGTAATTAACTATGAACATTGATCCAGACACCAAGCGTAAGAAAGCTTGGGTTAATATTGACATTAAATTTAGTTTCAACACATTTGGTAAAACGTATTTATTACGAACGTACAATTCAGGATTAACATAAGAAGAAAATAAGTTATGAAAAAAAAGAGTTCGTGTTATCCTGTCATGTACTTCATGAAATAAACAGACTCCCTGTCAATCGCTCAGGTAAGTGCACTGAAGTGTGACTAATCTCCCCAGTCTTTCACTATCGGCAAATTTCAAAGTGAAAATCAAGCCATTGTGTATAGACAAGCGACAGTGCATGAACCACAGGTGTAGATAGGTGTTATCTTTTGTTTTGTTGATTGTCCCAAGAGTGAAAAGGTGTGAAAAAATATTACGGACGGACATTTTCTATTATAGTAAGCGAAGTGTATACTTTTACCTATGATAATAACAGACAAAATTTATAATGAATTATTAAGAAATGGTTTTGTGTTTCAGATATCTATGATAAAAAAAGAAGTATGATATAAAACCGGTATGATAAAAAACGAATTGTACTGTATGACCAAAAATTGGCTTTTTTATTGTTATTTTACATTATTTTTTCAATTCTGGTTTGAAAAGTTTTAATATGAAAAAAATATGAAGCAATAAAATTCCCCCAAATTCACTTTTTTGTCTGTTCAAATCAATTCTTCAAATCTAAGCCAAAAAAAGAATTTTTGTATACAAGTTCTATTACAAAAAATACTAGATTTTGAAGTAACCCTATTTTACATTATTGTGTTGCACTCCTGACATCTGATATGTATTTTATTTAACATTGTTTTAAAAATTATAACACACAGTAACCCATTCTTACTTTGTGAATCAATTTGTCGTTTTGATATTTTTCATCATTTACGGCAGGTTTTTCATATTTTGAAGACCTTAAAACATGATTATTTGCAAAGTGTAATATATATAAATTGTATTTAAAAATATATGTGAAATGATGAAAACTATTCCCTGAATTGACTGTAAAATTTCTGTAATTAATTGATAGACATAGTGTTTTGAACATCAAATAGTATCAAACATTTTTTTTTCAACTTATTTTTTAGTAAAGATAGTTAAAAAGCACTGGTAATTATAAAGCAGTTTTGTTGCACTCCTTACTGCAATAAAATTTAAAAATAAAACTGTAGAACATAAAAATTCATAAAGTGTTGGCAACATCAAGTGATAATGAAATTGTGCAATATTTATAGTCCAATACTTCATAATTAAAACAGATGAAAGTATTTAAAATTCGAATTTATCTGGAATTATTCCCTATTTATGCCAAAAAACTAGCTTAAATGTATATTTAGAAGATAAAATATATTTTGTAGCATATTTTCCTTTAGAGGACAAACACAGTAACCCACCAGAAAAATTCTACTCATCATTTTTTCTTTATTTTTATTCTTATTGGATGATTTATAATTCTAACATATTTGTTGCACTCCTGACCAAAAGCATTGGGGCCTTTAAAGTAGAATAAGAAATTGTTCTGTTGTTTCAGTGAAGTTGAGGAGGAATTACTTGAATTTTATAACAATTTTTTAGTGTGTTTATTTTTAACATTCATTAAAAAAAATCACAAAAAGATAAAAACACATCTGAAAAAAGAAAGGATTTTAATAATAAAACTATTAATAATTTAGTATTAAATTATACAAAAAGATCATTATTAATTAATGGATACTTCTAAGCATGAATAGAAGTGTTTTCGTCACACAACTTGAATCGTTAAAAAAATGTGTTGCACTCCTGACCATAGAAATATAGATCTGAAGCATAGACAGACCCTGTAATTGATAAATCTATTTAGTAAAAATGTTATTTGTGTCTTTATTTTCCAAAATAAAAATCAGAAAATCTTATAATGATAATAGTTTTTTCATGCTTGGGAGCAAAACATCAAATGTTGCACTCCTGACATTATTGGGTATGCACATAAACTTGACTCTCATTAATGCTGCTTGTGATTTATATAACATTTTTAAGTTTTAAAATGTATATCAGTTATTGTTTTACACTTTACAAAAATTCCTGACATTATTGGGTATGCACATAAACTTGACTCTCATTAATGCTGCTTGTGATTTATATAACATTTTTAAGTTTTAAAATGTATATCAGTTATTGTTTTACACTTTACAAAAATTCTTTTTTGTCTTAATTTTAATCTTTCAGAATTGTACAATTGATGTTTTTTTTGGCAACACTACATTTTTTCTGTTGCACTCCTGACATGGTATAACATTTTTTT